TTGCCACATGCCACCTGCCCTCCCCTCTGGACAGAACCGCTATGCTGACTTCTGGGTTAATCATGCCCCCACTTTCCTTTCAATTATATCACATTTGGAGCACCCCTAAATAACAGCTACTTTAGCCATTTTGGGGTTTTTAAATAGATTTTTTGAGAGAGAATCGATTTCTTTTTCATTTATGCATTCATTGGTTGAGTCTTAAATACAGGGTGCCCTCCCAAAATGTATATGCACTTTGAATGATTAAAAAGTCAGTGTTTATTGCCCTTGCTGTTTTGCTCAGTGGTTAGAGCGTCAGCCGGAGGACTGAAGGGTCCTGGGTTCGATTCAGGCCAAGGGCATGTACCTCGGTTGCAGGCTCCATCCCTGGCCCCAGATATGTGCAGGAGGCAACCAATCGACATCAATGTTTCTCCTTCGCTCTCTTTCACTCTCTCTGAAAAAGCAATGGAAAAAATATCCTCTGGTGACGATTAAAAAAAACATACAAAAACCCCCCAATGAAGTCAGTGTTTATTAACATACAGTTCATTTTCAAAATTTAAAAGAATCGCCTGGCCTGGCAGGCGTGGCTCAGCGGTTGAGCATCCACCTAGGATCCAGGAGATCGCGGTTCCATTCCCTGGTCAGCGCACATGCCCAGTCCAGGGCGTGCAGGAGGCAGCCCATCAGTGACTCTCTCATCATTGATGTTTCAACTCTCCCTTTCCCTCTCCCTCTCTCTGAAATCAATGAAGATATATTAAAAAAATTTAAAAATAAAACTGCAGCCCTCCCCCGCCGGGCGTGGCTCAGCGGTTGTGCATGGGCCTGGGGTCCAGGACTTCTCTCCCGCCGCGGGCACCCCGACCTCCAGAGCAGTCAGCAGTCGGCCAGTAACCTTACAGCGCCCTGGGCTTAGAGGGTCCCAGGTTCGAATCCCGACCCCGACCGGCCTCTGCTGGGTCCCGGGACAGGTTCCTAAAAAAAAAATAATAATAATAATAAAAATCCCTGTATGCCTCAGTTTCCCGTCCTGGAAATGGGCCCTAAGACCCCGCCGTGTGGACGGTCAGCTCGGCCGGGGCCCCAGACCTCGGGTCCGCGGGGAGGGGTCAGAGGGTCACGGCCGCAGCCGTCGCCGCCCCGCCTTCTTAGCGCCAAAATTCGAAAATTGCCAACGCCTCCCAAACTGCGCACCCGGAGGGGGGCCTGGGCCTCGCCCGCGGGAAGCGCGGGGCGTTCTGGGACTTGGAGTCCCGCTCCCGGGGGTCCCGCGGGGCCGGCGCTGAGCGACGCGGGCGCGGAGCAGGGCCCGGACTG